AATAGGTTCGGCTAATTATGGTCTACTACTATCAGGCCTTAGTTTAGAATGTCAATTAAAGTGGTTTTCAAATAACTATTCCTAAATGAAAATCTTAAATCTAAAGATAACTTATCTAAATAAATTGGTTTGAAAATTTTTGAGATGTTAAAGAATACCTTTTTTGTGCAATGACCTAGATTATGAGTAGGAATGAAATGCTTAGAATTTAATGTAGCTAGTGACAAATAGGAGCATACTTATCATACTTATTCTTTACCCCCTTATTCTTTACCCCCTCTCGGTGCTAGCAAAGAACATTGGCTAATATAGAGTTTTTCACCAGCTTGTATAGTAGTACTGAGTAGATTCTGGCCTCTCACTTCCATATTACCCATTGTGCCCTCTCTATAGGATCTACTAAGGACCCTTACGATCCAAAATCTAGACCAAATTAATAAAAGAATCTAGTCTGTCACCCTAGAAATATCAATTCTATGCCTATCAAAACTTATCTTCCTATCGGGCGATTGTGACGGCTTCGCCCAAGTTGAAATGTGGCATTCACAAGTTTGTGAAATCATAGCCCCACCGGGTCATTATGTTTCACAATTCAAGTGATCAGTTTGTAAATTCAATTAAGACCCAGAGAAAATACCATCACTTTAACTAAATAATAGAATATGTAAATAAATCTAAATTTCTAAACATGCATCTCTTTTATTACAGAAGAAAAGTAAAATGAAGATAATGACATAAGCAGTAAAAGGATTGATAGAATCAAGGAAAAAATTATGTGCCAACAAGGAACATATGTCTAGCTACCATTTTTTGAGTGTATATGTATGCTTAGTATTCAATTAGTTTTATGCAACTATCTGTCACCTAGAAGCATCTAATAGAAATAGATCATTAAATTAAATTTCCTTAAAAGTTGCATTGCCACCTAAACTATGTGCACTCAAGTTGCATGATCACGGCTCTCCCGAGTTTTAGTTTAACTTACAACAAATTTTAACATAAGCTATTGCCACTTAAGTTATGTCAATGAAGCAAGGAAGATATTACTCCTCACATGAAAATAAAAATAATTCTATCATAAAAAAAAATTTTCTTGCACATGCCACTACTTTATATTAAGAAAAAAGAGTAAAGAAAACTACTTATGAATCATGGATAAAACACAATAAAAAACTTCATTTAAATTAAATAAAATCTACTAGAAAGTGTTTACAACAATTACAATCTAATGAATAAAACAATACTTAGTTTTTTCCCACTAGAAGAAAGATAAAAATCTCTCCAACAGAGTATCCTACCAATCCATGCGCCGCTCATACTTCCTTACTCATATCTCTCAAAATCCCTCACTAATCTCTACAATCAATAGAGAAATCTGTATCGCCATAGACTCTCGCCAAAATCTCTCTTAATCTCACTAAAAAATCCTCCTATGAACACACTAATTACTTCTCATGAGAGGCGTCATCCCCCTTATTTAAAGAGAAGCCAGACACCTCCTTTTTCCAAAAGACACACCCCTTCACTCCAAGATACACACCCTTTCACTCTAAGAGACACATCTCTTCGTTCAAAAGTTTTTTAAAATTTCTAGATTCGTTGAATAACTCCATGGGGTGTGCATAACCACCAAGAAGCTTCCAGAACATCCCGGAATTACCAGACATTGCCAAAAAGCTATCTAAAAATTGTCTCAAGTGTTATGGCACCAGAATTGGTGCTATAGTGCCTATTTATGGTCGTGTCTGACTCTATAGCACCAGAATCGTGGGTTATAGTGCCACCCTACGGGTCGCACACCTGTTTTGCTCCATTTTTGCTTCATGTCACCCTGATTCAGCTCTGGCTCGCTCCTAATGTTATACCTACAAGATAAATATGAAAATAAAATTTATTTAAACTGTAATTTCATTCAAAAATATGTGATAAATATAGAGAAAATTAAGCATTAAAAGTCATATCAAAATGCGCCAGATCAAAATTTCCTTCCTTGCTTAATTTGGCTCTAAATTGCACCATTTTTGCTTCATTTTGGCTAGAACTCAATTCCTTGTACATGAAAACAAAGGCATGCAAAATAAATTCCTTTAAAGAGCAATATCATAAAAAAATTGTACAAAATGAACATGAAATGTATATTAAAAATATGTAATTTTAAGGTGGACAAGGGCTTGCTGACTTGCCCACCCCTCTTTGATATGAAGCCCGTAGTAGACAGCTAGGAGACCTCTTGTGTTGAGGGACGCCTAGAAGACCTCTCAGTATCCGATTGAAAGAAGGAAGGAGTTTCTTCATCCCTCTAATCATCTAAAACTACCTGGGCAAGCTTCCATTCAATCAATATTAATTCATTTGTGACTTTATTTTGTATAAATACAAAAGTTTTGTAAATTGAGTGAATTAAATTCAAACCTGGGACTTGGCCCACTTACGAGCTACCTTCTTTCATCTCTTCCACCTCTCTAATGGGAGAACTGTCAGCTCTCTTTCTCTTTCTTGACTAATTTCTTGAAAGTTGGGCAGCTTTCTTAAATGGCCTCTTTACCTCTACTTCATTAGAGGCAGCGCCCGTTTCATGGGATCAACACCCGATTCACAGTCATAGGATTAGTTTATTAAACTTCTGAGAACGACTTCCCAAGAATGACTTGCTCTATTGGTTTCAGCCAGAGAGAAACCCCCTTACTTTCTTTGTAGGGGCCAGCAGTCGCTCTGTTGGATTGCCCAACTTGTTACAGATGACCCTAAAAAAACCAAAGCTTCCAATCGTTTATTTTATTTTTTAGATTGATTGGCTGGATCTTTTGAGTGTTGTCAAAGACAACATACTCGTTTATCTTCACCAAGAAAGAAAACATGTACGAGGATATTTGTCAGGACCATGGAACCACCATTCTGCATAACTGGATCACATAGGTCATTACCGCAACAATGCGTTTATCTTCATTAGGGTTGATATTACTCCGTAGTAGTTGAAAACTGAAATAAGCTCTGTGCGCAAGGGCAGCTAAAACCTACATTCAAATTGATCTCGATAAAAGATAAAATTGTCACCCAGATAATCTGTAGCCCGGACATTAACACCCTCTTAATCAAGAATGACACTTGTGTATACACACTGGTCTCATCCAACAGTTGAACATTAAATTTAGTCAGGATTGATCTCTTCATATTACAATTGCTACTCTCCTCTTTGGGGCCTCACTAGAACATTCAGATTTTTTCTTCCCCTCGTCCCTAGAAGGGTGAGCCTTCGAAGCAGGGAGCCTAAAAGCCCTCATAAGCACTTCTCTCACCGGACTCTTGGCGCCTGACATCTTCGTTCACACATATAAATGACTAAAGGGTAGAAATTTCAAGAAATTGGGAGAAAAATACTAACCACACTTTATTTATAGAAAACAATGGAGTGAAAATTCATGGAGTACAAGTTTAGGAAATATTTATTACTCATTATGTAAATAATTCTGTTATTTAATTCTCTTGTTCAAAGAAGTAAGAAAACCAGGGAAGAAATATGGCTACACGAATCTAGAGGAGATCCAACGGCTTTAATGAGAAAAGAAGCAGATGTGTGAATATTCATATTGCATCTGTCAGCCGAATCATAAGCCAATCGAACAAAAGTTTGATAGAACTAAGGAAAGCCGCATGCCCATGTGATGACTACTCAACCGACATCTTGACATCAGATAGATCAACAACAACTAGAGGGGATTCCTTTTATATAGACTCATCGATCGAAGGAAGATTGCCTGCCAAAATATGGTAACATGCCCTCTATCTGATGGAATAATCCTTCCAAATGAGAGTGAGCCTTTTATACAAATTTCTTTGAAAAGGGTGTCTGTAAATCATTCGGTTGGACAATCAACTCTTAGTCAACAAGGTCAAAGTATGTCTAAGTTAGCTACATATATGTAAAGACATAATGATTCATAAATTCCGTTAACCTTCCTATTAAAGGATGAAAAATCACGTAATTTACTATAACCATCTTTGACTTATAAAGAAGAGGGTCATATTCATGAAAAAGAGACTATTATAAAATTCCCAAATATTTAATATTACTCGTGTCTCATCCTTTTATTTTTTTCTCTCAATTGACCAACGTTCTATTCCTTGGGCATGATTTATAGGACATTTTGAGATTCAACAGTAAACCATTTCAATAAATATCAATTTCTTTTTAAATAAATAAATAGTTAAAAAAGAAAATCTACTTTATCAAAGAATTTTTTATTTTTAAAAAGCAAATGTTATTATCGTTTTAGTTAAAACACAAACAAAATTTGTGTTTTAGAAGACTGAAAAACCAAAAAAGGGAATTGTAATGTTCCGAGTGCTATGTATGTAATTGCTTGTATTATAATTTGTCCTTATGATACAATTATAATGTGACTAATATAATTTCTGGACAAAAAAAAATCCCAATCAAACCTTAGGGTTTATTGTTTAATTTCTCAATTTGAATTACAACAAGTTTAAGTTCGTGCTTCTTCGCAAATGACAAAATTGTAAAGGATCGTAACATGTTTCGAGTTTTCATCTTTTTTTAAGTTGTTTTCTTTTCTGCAAGTATAGATATTGCTGCATCGCACAAGTCGAAGAGGCCTTGCTGTAATAATTACGTATCTTTTTTTATTTGATCTGCCGTTGTACTAATAAATTAAGAATTGCATTATTGATTTTTTATTTTGTATCAGAATTAATAAATAATAGGGAATTTAGCCTTATAAATTTATTTATGTCACACTCAAAATTTAATTTTTATAAGTTAAGCACCCTACTTATAGGAAAAAAGTGTCGTCTATCTTTTCATATATCTTTTCAAACGTAAGGAAATATGTTTAATTTGTAAATATTGAAATTTGAGTATGACACAAGTAAATACATGCCATCCATGTTGATTTCCCCAACTAATATTGTGAGTGGGATGTGTGGGTGGGAAGGGCAAGTCATCTAGCAGCTGGTATGCTATTTTTTTCTCCTTCCAGTTCGATCGATCTCAGTAGTTTTTAAGATAACGAGCTCCTGCGTCTCACTTACGTCATTTCTTCTTGAGAAATTATGTCTATATCATAATTTCCCTCTTCAGTTGATCTTAGCCTAGATTTTTTTGTTCTGGAGTCTAAAATTGTTAAGGTTTGCTTCCCTCAAAAAATAAAATAATAAGTAAAAAGTAAAAAAAAAATTGAAGTTTTAGGTTTGCAGTATATTACGTTTATCAGAAGGTATTTGCTGCGATCTCTGAGGTGAATCCGATTTAGTGCTGGATTGCCCTGAAATGTGAGGGATTTGCTCGTGAAAGTTGTATATTTTGTGGAACATGATCTGGAAGTTTGGTTTAGGTCGTTAAAGGACAGCTGATGCGATGTCTTCTCTCAGCAGAGAACTGGTTTTTTTGATCTTGCAGTTTCTGGATGAGGAGAAGTTCAAAGAGACAGTTCATAAGTAAGGTTTTTTTTTGTTTTTTTTTTTGGTTGAAAAGTTTTGTTATTTGATACAGGCTAGTGGTTTTCAGGGTTTTCGAGTTCTTATTCCCTCTTTTTTTGTTTTTTTTTGTTTTTGGGTTATAGGCTGGAACAGGAATCTGGTTTCTTCTTCAACATGAAACATTTTGAGGATGAGGTTCATAATGGGAACTGGGATGATGTGGAGCGTTATCTCTCTGGTTTCACAAAGGTTGATGATAATCGGTATTCCATGAAAATATTCTTTGAAATAAGAAAGCAGAAGTATCTGGAGGCGTTGGATAAGTATGCAATGTTTTTAAAAATTTAATATTTGATTTTGATAAGATCTTCTATTTTATTGTGTAATGATATCTTGATTTCAAGGAATGATTTTGATGAATACTCTTTTTGTAGGCATGATCGTTCAAAGGCTGTTGACATACTTGTGAAGGATTTGAAAGTCTTTGCCTCCTTCAACGAGGAGCTTTTCAAGGAAATTACACAGCTTTTGACATTGGAAAATTTCAGGTTTTCTTAATCATTATTTTTGCACTTCTATATATTCATGATTATTCTGCTAATTATGAACTTTTAGGGAAAATGAACAACTTTCAAAATATGGGGATACAAAATCTGCAAGGACTATCATGCTAGTTGAGCTTAAGAAATTAATTGAAGCAAATCCACTATTTCGAGACAAGTTGCAGTTTCCAAACCTCAAAAGTTCAAGGTTGCGCACCCTCATTAATCAAAGGTATGTTTTCATGTATTGTCATTATGAAGAACAACTCTGTTTGGCATCACTTTTTGTTATTTTTTAAAAATATTTTTTTTCTTAGTGTTCTGTAATTTTTTTTTTGTTTTTAAAATAAACTTAAGTTGCTTTAAAAATATTTATCTTATGAATCACATCGGCCAGAACAATCCCATGTCAGCTGTTATTGCTCCCCTGGTTCTTCTCTATCGGTCACCGATGCTCTCCCATTTTTGTTTTACTACAATACTTTGCCGCTCTATTGCTTTGTCACCGCCTTGCAAACCACTGGCATTTTCATTGCCCACACATTGCCACTATCCTCACTCCGCATAAGCCCTTTCCCTCAATATCTTTTTTATATCATCTTGCCTCCACCTCCTCACCTTATCGCCAACATTGCCACACCCATTGTAGTCGCCTGTGACTGTCTTGCGCTTCGTTCATTGCTATTACATTCATATAAATCGATTTATATGATATTTAATCAGAAAAGGTAGACGATATTTAAGATGCTAAATATGTTTATATTTCATATCCACATAAAAAACAAAACAAAATAATAATAATAAAAAAAGATAATAGCATTTGATCTCAAATTTCTCCTAAGCTTTTAGGAATATGGTTCATATTGTTAAGAAATTTGATGGTGCAGAAGCAGATGAACAAACTAGGAGGTGATAAGATTGTTACAATCTTTCTAATGAAAATATTATTTTGTTGTCAATTTAATAAATTATCCTTAATAAATAAAAGTAGGCTTGTGAAGAAGTTGCTTACATTTTAATTGTTATCATAATATGGTTGCCAATGCTTTTCTGATATTTAAACCATGATGTAAGTATTTTAAAGTCCAAATTATAGAAATTTCTTGTTTAATTAAGAATAAGTTTAAAATTGTGATGGATTTAGACATAAAAGCATCAGTAAAACAATGTCAAATTTCAACTATTCGTACAAAATAAAAAATATTAAGAGGGCTGTGCCAAAATGTTCAATTGAAAAGTAGGGGTGATTGTATTTTAACATCACGAGGTTTTCAAATTATGTGTATAACTCATGTACTTCGAAGTTTTCCTAGAACCCATTACATTATAAATCAAAATGTTTTAACATTAACTTTTCTATTAAAATCAAAAGGCGTGCTTGTTTACTTAAGTATTTATTATTGAGCCCATCAACAACTCTACACGTTGTAGTGGATCAGCCTAAGTGAGGAAGGAGACAAACCAGTAATTTGGGTTAAGATTTTGAGTTTTGACAACTTCAAAGCTAACTAATGACTTTGATATAACGAGCAATTTGCCTCACATATGATATTCTCTTGATGGCCTTTTGGCCATACTTATGCCTTGAAAACTCATGCATTTGTTAATCGACTATCTATTTTAAACTTCCAACATTAAGACAATTTTCTTAATAATAATAGGAATTTGAAGCAAGCTAAGCGTTGGGGAGAAGGGGTCAATTTAGAGATGTATTGGGGAAGGGGAAACAATGTAGAAGATGTGAAGTTTATGGAAATTGGAAGGGTAAAATGGCAGGTTGGCTGCTTTCCGGGAGGGAGTTGACGGTCAATGGCTTGTATGAAAGCGTGTGGATGTTGGGTAGGGTCCATCACCTGTTCTCTTCAAGATATAGATTCATCACTTGAAGAAACATAGGCTATAGCTCTCCAATTCAGATAAAACAGGAAAAAATTTTCCCAAGAACATGAAACAAAAGCAAATGTCCCCATCGGGTTCTAAAATAATCTACTTGTTCTAAAACATAAATTAAACCGTAATTAGAAATCAAAATATAGTGAATAGAGACTCTTTAAGACCCGTCAACATTAGGAAGGCAAGAAAATTTCTATGCCAGGACTCATGGGATGGGAGTTTTGTCTCCCACGTCCGATTTTGCAATGTGGAAGATTGCGAGACTCGCACTTTCATCACTTTCCTCGACTAAGAGTTTTGTCTTCAGAAACATCCAGATTCTCCTATTACGACAAGTTAGCAGCGTTGAATATAACAAGATTGTTGCAATCTCTATAAATCAACCTTATATATGTGTTCATTAATTTTCTTAACAATCCTGAATGGAATGTTAGATGTAGGTTTGAGCTTTCCAAATGTGCCTTTAGGAAATCACTCTTTCTTCAATTTAATTCATATGCAAGTCACTTTTGTTGAAGACCATAATTTTCTTGGATTTGTTAACATTCTTATGATACTTCATGTTATTTTAGCAATATTTTTTTCACATGCGCAGACTCCAACCCCTGCATTTATGGTAATCTTAGAAGTTAACAATATTTCCAGTGACAAACAAAATTAGAGAGAGTCATCTTAGATGGTTTGGTCACATTAAAGATCAACCATCTGATGATCTGATTAAGCGAATAGATGTTTTAGATTCGACTTATGTTAAAAAAGGAAGAGGTAGACCTAGAAAGACTTGGCTTATTGTATACTTAATTTATTAGAACTAAATGAAAATATGACATTAAATAGGACGCAATGGAGAAAAAGGATTCATGTAGCTGACCCCACGTAGTGGGATTAAAACTTTGTTGTTATTGTTGTTGTTGTTAGAAGTTAACAGTATCAACACTAACTCTAAAGGTGTGAGAGAATTCCGACTGTAGACAATCTCAAAAGAACTGTGACCTATGAACTGACTAATAGACTGGTTATAAACAAACTCAACGTGAGAAAGCATCAAATCTCATTATCTGATGTTCTTTTTAACAAAGCTCCTGAGAATATTTCCCAAATTACGATTTACAACTTCTGTATGTCCATCTATTTGAGGGTGAGCTGCGGAATTGAAGTAAAGTTTTGTGGCACGCTCACTCCATAATTTTTCAGAAATGACTCAAAAACTTCACGTCCGTATTTAAAGTGATGTTTCTAGGCATATAGGTGAACTACTCCAAAGTACATGTTATCAATGTGCGAGGCATATATCATCCTGTGATAGGGTATAAAGTGTTGTCATCTTGGTAAAAGGGTCCAACACCACTATAGTTGAATTCTTGTTTCAGTGTGACCTAGGAAAAATCACAATGAATATCATGCTTGCATCCATCCAAGGTGATTTCAGAATTAGGAGGGGAGTATATAGACCAATATTCAACTCTTGGATCTTAGCTAAGTGACAAGCTCTACACTGTCTAACATCTCTCCACATCTCGTGCTAAGCTAAGCGAATATAAATTTTCAGTCGTTAAAGAAAGAGCATTGACTTGGTTAAAATGTTCTGCCATCCTCCTATTCTGACATTTCTATAAAATGCACTCCTTTTGTGAAATGCAAGAAACGTACAGTCTGTTCTAAAAGACCTTATATTTACCGAATTTTTTATACTGCTCATACATTCTGTCCTGCCTACTAATGAGTTAAATCTCTTGAAAATTCTTGCCACCAACATACAAATCCTTAAGTACTTCAAACTACATAGTACTGATCAGTAAGTGTTGACGGCTCAGTATATATGATACTTTGTTTAGACTTCCTACCTCGTGCTTGAGCTAAAAATGGAACGAAGAGGGGAATTCAATCAACGAACGTGTCTACGCTTAAGCTTTTCATGATTGTTCAGAAATTTCAAGGTCTCATAATGAGTACACAGAATAAACTTATTCCCAAGCAAATAATGGCCAGTGATTGAAGAACCTTTTTATAACATAGAACTCATTATCATAAGAAGAATATTTTTTTCTAGACTTAAAAAATAAATAGGGCTACTTTACATAACTCTAATTTTTAAGTTGGAGGCATCATTCTCCATCTCAAACACCTGATTAAAAGCTGGAAGTGCTAGGATCGTGGCCTGAGTAACTTGTTTCTTCAAAGTTTCAAAGGTAATTTGTGTGTTACCCATCTATTTGTCTTATGAAGCTCTATCATAGGTGCAGCGATGAGTTAAAATTCCTAATAAATATTTCATAAAAAGATGTCAATTCATGAAATTGACTTATCTGAGTGAACAATTGTGGCTTGGGTCAGTCCACAATAGACGCGACCTTTATTGGGTCCAACTTAGTGCCAACAATGGAGGCAATGTATCCGAGGAAGTATGTTTGTGGTGTTAAAAAATGGAACTTCTTTGAATGGCCATACAACTACTATGTTCGAAATATTCCAAATGCTTGTCTGAAGTGCTACAAGTATTCTTCCTCCGAATGATTGTATAGTAATATGTCGTCAAAGTGCACAATCACATACTTCATAACGAAAGCTCAGAAGACCTGATTCATTATCCACATAAACCCTGTGTATAGGACAACCCAATGGATATGACTGTCCCTCATACAATCCATCTCATTTTTGAAAATTATCTTCTACTCATCTCTTGGTCTCATCCTGATTTGGCGATCGGTCGATCTTGGAGAAGATAGTGTAATTGATCTAGGAAATCATTCAATCTTGAAATGTAAAACTGGTACTTGATAATAATCTTGTTCACAACCTTGTTAATAATACACGTGTCACGATTCATTTGTTTAGAAAAATCAATGCTGGTACGACAAATGGTTTTGTACGCTCATGAACTGATCCCTGGGCCTTCAAATCATCAACCTACTTCATACTTTATTGGTCGAGAAAAGTGAAATGGTCTCCTGACTTTTTGTAGGGAGCTAATTTAGTCTTAATGTTTATAAAAGTGTCAATCTATTCCCCAATTTCTTTTAATGAGGGCTAAATTAATACACTTTTGGGACTATTTAAACTCCATATGAAAAGTGTGCAAGGAAAAATTTGACACATTTATAAATTGTGAGACTAAAATGACCTATTAAATAGTCGGGGGAGTAGTTTAACACTCCTCTTTATTGGTTGCATCTGGTAGGCTAATCGGTTGGAGAGCATTAAGATTGGGATGAGGACTATAACATATTGGATCTCTCATAGGAATGACACTCCAAGTGACAGATTGTTAGTCAAAATATCATACGAGTCCTTCAATAGAGGTCGCATTGCCTGGGGTATCAACCCTTCTATCTCATCGAG